TTTTTTTTTTTTTTTTTTTTTTTTTTTTTTTTTTTTTTTTTTTTTTTTTTTTTTTTTTTTTTTTTTTTTTTTTTTTTTTTTTTTTTTTTTTTTTGACGCAGCTTGAAAGTCACGGAGCTTATCTACATATCCCAACACATTCGAGATTTATCAAGCCTTTACTGGGTGCCATTATCGTACTGTTTCTGTCGAATCTGACAAATGTCGAAGCTCTCATTCAGGGCTAGATCACGTTCTGGGGCAGATGACTTTCATTTATGAAAGCACCCTCGCATAATTTGCTTTTATTATCACGGTCCTCAATTTCAATTTCTAAGTCTCTACTGGAGTCGCTATTTAATCTCTAGTCTGCAGAGGTTCTGCTCAAACCAAAATTAGCATCACTGATACATCGTGTCGTCAGACCCGACTGGTTTGGAGCGACGCACTATGGCCGAAAGTCCACAGGAGCAATGGACAAGAAATAGATAACAGAAAGTCGGAAGTGTAAAGGGAGTAAGTGAGTATTACGGAGGCTTGTAAAGGTGACACTGCGCGGGGTGTTAGAGAAGAAATTGTAGATAAGCGTACAATGCTATGGAGAACTCGAAAGAAAGTGAAGAATATGAGAAGGACATGAGAGATCTGACTGTTGGTAAATTCCAAGAACTGCCTCTATAACCTTCCTTGAGCTATCTAGTTACCTTTTCCTCTGGCATCGAATATATGTCCGAATAAAATGTTTCCCCACTGTAGTCTTTGGTGGCTGTAGGACTCTAGTCCACTATATCTTATGCATAGTCGTCTGATGAAGGGCCAGCCTTCAACTATCTAATATGTATATGTGTATATGTATATGGGTTACTATTCAGGGTGATTATTATAGCACCAGACAATCCTACACACATACAGACACACATGTATATATATGTATATATATGGATGATTACATATTTGTAAACTGTCGGACATTCCATGAGCTTACCTAGGGAAGCTGGAAGTCACCCATCAGTAAAGAGCGCTAGTTCAACCCTGGAGTATATTTACATATAGTTCAGTATGACCACTATCCAATAACATGTCACAACTTGGCCGAACTACCAGTCAATATAGTAAGCTCTTCATTTCTGGCATGCAGAAGGTAAATATTATATAACAGTGTATATGTATTTTTGGGAAGATTAGTCGTAAGCACAAGCACTTGGTAGTGGATAAGGCTGACGATGAATGGATGGATGAGCGAACTCATACTTGATTCTCTCGAAAACATCCTTCTCTTACTACATCTAGTTCTTTATGGCCTTGTCTCCTTCGCGTACAGAAAGTCACTAGCAGAAATACAGGTAGTATGCACTAAGACTAGGCCGGTATTAGTACTTGGATGTGCTCATGGCTGCTAGAGTGAGGGGTTCAATTCCTTATGCCACGTTACTAAGTTCACTCTGTCTGTACGCCAAGCGTCGGGAACTGAATATATATCTCAACTCGCTTATAGGATTAATGAGTAAGTAGTAGCCATCAGCTAATCATTCAACAGTATACGAGAATGCTGCCAATAATCTCAAAGCATGTAAAACATCAGTTGCTTGGACGGAAATATACCGGAGAAATAGTAGTATTCTGTTCATTAGCTACAACCTGGATCCTGCTATCATCTGGCGGGGTTACCCCGCGATCTGCACCGCATCCTTCATAAAATTGACAGACCAACACTAAATGTCCGCAATTCATCGACTACTAGCTTCAATGGCCATCACAATTTTTTTTTTTTTTTTTTCAAAGTCATGCGGGGATTTCTGAGCAGTCCATGAGTCAAGTCCTGCAACAATTTCTCAAGGGATCAAATATTCACACCCATAGCCGGGACCAGATCAGTACTAGCAGGATGGGCATGCGACAGCTCTCCTTCTCCATCTGTCAGGCCCACCTCGTGCAGCGCAAGTCTTCTGACACGGACCTCTCTCGGACTCGCCTAAACCTTGTTAGCCATGCACGGTATGACTTCATTTCCGTCGTGGTGATTCCTTTATTCCGCCTGTGAGTTTACCCAGCCTTCTCTCCCCTCTTCTCCCCTCTCCCGTCCATCGGGTTACCGCTGGTGGCTTGCAGTAGACATGAAAGAACGTGGGGTGGCAAGCAGGGCCATGGCTCTCGGATTGCCATGTCCGAGCTCAAGCTTGCTCTCGGCAAGATGTCCGAGTGCGTACATAGAGGGACCGACTGCGGCAGTTAATGTATCTGCTACCCCCTTGCTCAAGTTGAACGGCTGGACTGGGATACTTCGTACAGAATTATAGAATGAGTCATGGGATTGGTATGTGATTATATCCCTCAGTCGTACTCTAGTACGGGTGAGGTCGCTTATCGAGGTATCCTTCCTTGATAGGCATGATTACCGAAACAGGCAAGACTCTCCTAGGCTGCCCACCCCCCGGATCTGGGGTTATCCGCTGGATGGCGAGTAAGTAGCGGGGGAGCGTGCCACTGTGGCTGAGTATGTATCTATCTGTGATTCCATGGTGGAAAGACATCTACTCACTTTCTATAGGATACAAGGGAAAGTGTGCGGGTGTTGCACCTTCAGTCTATCCACCAATTACGTACAGGATGGATGTCCAACCGAACTAGTGATAGTAAGTAGGCAAGGATAGTAGATAGTAGTAGAGGCGCGCATGATATGATATCATAGGTAAGGGGAAGAGGAATGCGAGGGATCAGGTTCCTGTCTATCTATCAATCTGGGAGAAGAAGTCAGCTCCCCGGCCTCCCCGGGTTAATTCTGAAAAGATAGCACGGAACAGTCCGAGAATTTAAAAAGGGGGTAAATGAAGCTGGGGCAAAGGCGGGAATGTTGGCTGGAGAAACTGGAGCTGGAAGGTTCGATCGCCCGCAATAGATGGATCAAGCGAAATTCGGCTCTGGGGTCGAGAAGTTGACCCAATCCCAATTCCATGCCCCTTACTATTAATGGCAGCTGATGACTGGGGAAGATACGTAACTTGCCCCAGACACGAAAAAAGCTAAGGCTACCGACTTCAAGTAAAACGACCGGTACCGTCACAGCTCCATTTCGCCAGTCCAGGGAAAAACGAGAAAATCCCGGTCTTTCCCCGATCGGGAGCAACTCCACGTTTCTGTGTCCAATTCGGGGAGCATTACGCGATTTATGATTGGTGGCCAATCGTCCTCCAGCCGACGGTTAGTCAGCTGTGGGAGTCCCACATGGGAATCCGCTCAAATGTCACTGATTGGTGTGGGGGAATTCCCTCGTGATGGTCGGAGATTATCCACACGGACCAATCACCACCGCTTGGGCGTTGGTTCGTTTTTCCCCCACAAATTACTACCTATACTACTTACTAAGTACTACTAAGCCACTGCTGGGTCCCCCCGTATTCTCATCGTGGTCCAGTCAATCAATCCCTAATTACGGCATGAAAATCTCGTTGTTTTACCTTCTAGTAGTACTGCTTGCGAGAAAGGGTTGCATGCTCCCCCCAAGGGTGAGCACAGAATATTCATGTGAAATTGGACAAACTAACTATAACGCTAGAACTTCTGAAATAGGAAGGTCTAAGATAACTAAGTAGTTGTAGTGCTGGTGCCTTGCTCACTCTTTATCAGGAATTGAGGCATGAACTGATTGACTACAACGAGCTGACCCAATCACATATAAGTGTAGGGCTTTTTCTCACAGTAGTGGCATGCAGCATGTTGTGATGGCACACATTGACAGCAAGGAACCGCCCTTTCATGCCACCCTTCATTACGACACTGTACATGAAACAGAAAGCGAGCTATCTGGTCTATCCACCTGGAGGGAACCGGAAGGCTCTAAGCTCATCATAGGTGCCTGGTTCTACCCCAGTGCGCCATCCTTTCTCTCTACTTGTGGGGTACCGAGCTCTTTCCTCCGATTCTCGCTGCTCCCCCGACCTCTTCTCAAGCCACAAATAGCCTTTGGCAATACGTACACACTACTACGCAGTAGTCTGCTGGTCCCTCCAATGCTCCACTCGGGCGCCAGCTAGATAATATGATCCCGTCTGGGGGAGCGAGCTCACAGGTCACCCGCTCAGATTCTGGGCCGTTACGGCTCGCAATTTCCGACGGAACTATTGGACAGCGCCAACGGAACATTCTTTGCTACCTTGCGAGAGGGTTCGTCTCCTCCGGTTGTCGGCACTATTAAGCGTGACATCGGACCCTCTATCACGTGGATGAGCTTGTTGCTGATACTCTTTCCATGAATATGATTTGGGGAGATCACATTGCAGGGGTAATAATTCACGCAGGGTTTGAATGATGATTAATATTATTCATCCGTAAAGCCTAGTGGCCAGGTCTAGAGCATGGTGTGCTTTGCACCCCATTGCTGCGACGATTCGTTTTGCTGTTCCTTTGAATTCTGACTGACAACTCGCATGCACAATGTGTGTGTGTGTGTGTGTGTGTGTGTGTGTAGCAGCAGCGCCAGCAGCATCAAGAATTTGGGGCCGATCCACCCGCGCGATATTTTGCCCCAGTCTGTGACCAGCACTATTTCACGACCCATCCAGAACTAAATGTCGGGTTGCTCCTGTTGACGATGTTTGCATATTATTGTCATACTATCATTTTCGTAACTTTTTCTTCAATAATGATATCTTTTCAATGCTTAAGGAGGGCCACTGTAAGGATCTAAAACGACTCATCCGGAGAGGACTAGGTCTCGATGCGGCGGGCGAGCCGAATTCAAGGACTCCCGCTTTTCTCCAGTTCCTAGTTTCAGTGGGTCTCCCAGACAGTGACCGCATTTATTGAAATTCTGTGTCCAAATAATTAATCCCCCGAACGAACTAAACCGCAGGATACCGTTCCCAACTCCCAGTGTCGTCCCAGGTTTGGTCCGGCCCAACGATTCGCCCCTCCATCGGCATGCGGGATCGGCTGCGATCCTACATTGGGCAGCTGGCGGGCGGGCCTGCCCTGCTCCTATCCCTCATGCTGCATAGCGCCTGGCGACTGGGCTTAGTCTCTCCCAGGTCTGGATGCTGTAGGCCAGCGACAACTACTTGGTCCATTATTAATTCCTGATGCATTGGCAATGATACCTTGTTAGTTGGCCTCCTTTCCCTAAAAAGGCCCTGCTGTACTACAATGTAACTTACTAAGTTTCAACAGGGGGAAAAGATATGTGCATGATCGTCATAAGTCCACTCCCTCTCCACCAAATTCAAGACTTAGTCCTCTCTGCCTCCGGCTTCGAGACCGCATGACATCTGCACCGTCCGCACTGGATGGGTCATCGGAATACCGAGTGCAAACAAGCTGCAGGCTGCATTTTTTCCAAGTCATTCTATTTAACGAATATTTGTGTTGTGACAATGGCTAACTACTGACTGATACGTAGAGGGTTTTCCTCAGCGCGATCCAAGCAAGGAGACGACAATCCATCAAGGTAATGAATTTGTAAGTGAAGAGGACCGCTGTGCATGTGTGTATGTATGTGTGTGTGTGTGTGTCTTATCATAACGATCATCGAGGTAGGCTCCGATAGCGCAGAAGAATCCACCCTAGTCCGAGATCACCATACGCGCACAGTATATTACACAAAAGGAATGGTAGATAACTAGAGAGCATACGGGATAATCTAAACGGAGCGCTTACGGGCCTCGGTTCCGTGGTATCTGGCTGGCTGACCCATACTCGGCTGTTCAGCAAAAGGGAGATCGTGATGTGTACTCCGTACCGCAGGGGCCGATCCCCGATCAAAGAACACACAGTAGTATACTTACGCTTTGCAATACGGATCCGGCGGGAAAGAAAATCTTATTAGAGACAAAGAGCCGAATGATTTACATTCTGGTAATAATCACTATTTTCGAGCCAACCTGACTGACTGACTGACTGACGTAAAAGGGGGCAATGAAAGGGAAGCCGACGGAAGCAGACCCGAGTTTCTGAGACGCCGTGCTTCTCCAGTCCAGAGTTGCGAGTGCATGCAAGCAAAAGAAGTCACAAGAGCCGGAATCTTTTCCGACACCAAATATGACGCATCCTCCCTTGGTGTGTGTGTGTGTTTGTTCAGCTAACTAACTGACTCCGGAAATGTCACCGCACTACTCCGTATGTATACCGCCCCGTGGCTGCATCCCTGCACGGAAGAATAGCGCCATGACAGTTTAAAGGATGTCCCAGGGTCAAAAGTAGTCGCGAAGGAATATTCTACCAAAAAAAAAAAAAAGAAAAGAAAAGAAAAGAAAAATCTCACTGTAAACACCCGATGAGGAAAGGTTTCCAAGAGTCTTTGTCTTGTCTCATGGGAAATTGGGGATAGCAACGTTTAGTTCAGACCAATGGCAGGACCTTGAATTTGCTCCCGGTCCCCTCCGGTGGTGGCCAAGTTGCCGATGACTGGTTGTGGCGGACAGGGCCAGTAACGTGACCGGGCCGATGGAGACAACCACCTCTCAATCGGGTATGGAAAACTGCCATCGCCTTCTGGGTCCGTTGCTACTCCTTAGTAGTGGTGGGGAAGAGGAGGAAGAGAGGGAGGGGGGACGGGCTAAGAGGACGGAAAATACGGAGTAAGGGCACGGGAGTTGGGTTCACTTGACTGGAAATGGGTAGACTGCTATCTACTTACTGGTAAGTACTAACACTGAGAAAGAAACCGGCTGTGGAACGGAAGCTGAGGAACTGGGTGGGAACCACTAAATACTTAGTAAGTATTTCACTAAACTTGTTTGGGTCGGAGGAGGAGGGGGTCCTGCGTTTGGTAGTGGATCTTAACAAATAGTCATGGGTTTCTGAATGGTCGTTGGTGTCTCCAGTGGGGGTGTTCTGTACAGTAAGCAATGCGCAACGACTGGCTCAAAAAGACACCCGTAATCTGATTGTGTCTTTTTCATCCATAGGTATTATTATTATTATTATTATTATTAAATTCTAATTATTATTTCCATTCCCCCACCACTCCGACTGGAACCCGCTTTTTCCTTTTTTCCTAATTGAAGCCTCCAACTCCCCCCCAAAAGGGGACTAGTCGATGCGGTCTGAGGTAAATACAGACCCGCACTAGCGCCGGCCTTCTTTTCTGGCCAGCGTGACTAGTGAGTATAGTCTAGTCCACAATAGGTAGCAAGAGTCTTTTTCACTACTCAACTAAAACCCCCCGGCGCGGTTTGACGACGACGACGACAACCCCGATGATGATGATGATGCTGATGATTAACCCGGGTCAGGTCCTCTTTTTTTCCTTCCCCTAGTCTCAAAGTCTAGTACGGAGCATACCGTCCGCCATTGGGTTTCCACTTTCTAGGCGGAATTCCACGGTTCTGGTCTGGGGGAGGCGACCATGGCGAGTGGATCTGGGGCTCATCATCCCCAACGCCAACGCCTCCTGACTGACTGGTTTTTTGACTGACGGTTGGAAAAGGCACTTGCGACATTTGCTGCTGCTACTGACACTAGTTCAATCGTACTTAAACATTCTCCTCCCCGGCCCCAGGTCTTGTCTCGATTTTCGTCCCTTTGGACGAAAAGATTGGAACGTGGTCCTGTGATTCCTTTTTCTCTTTCGCTCTCTCTCTCTCCCTTCCGGCGGAAAGTGATTCTTTCTAACTTAAATTCCTGTATGAATTTATTTTAAATAATTTCTAAAAAAAAAAAAGAAAAACAGACAAAAAAAGGAACATAAAAAAAGGAACCCTCTCCACTCTTGTTACTTTTACCTCTGTTGGATCACGTTCTGGATTTCCTTTTCCCTACTTCATACCTCTTCCTCCACCTTTCTCTTGTTCTAACTCCTACTACTTACTCCTTACTCCTACCCTCGCCATTTTTGTCCTATTACCTATAATCCTCCATATCTACCAAGAAAGTCGCATTTATCAGTCTACTCTGATTATCGCTATACCTCTCCACGCCGTTTTTCTACAATTCCTCTTCCACGATTGATACGAAAACAAAAGGCTGGCCTACTCACGGATGATCCGGTTCAACTGAATTCACGCTTTGCATAATGACTAACACTGCTGTATCAACAACTTCTCCCACCCCTCAATCCACCGTGGAAACCGAGGCCAAATCCAAGAGGAAAGCCTCCACTGCCGGTCTGCCCGCCAATGCCCGCCCTGTAAAACGGAGGGCATCCAAGGCCTGCTGCTGCTGCCGGGCTCGCAAAGTGCGGTGTGATGTGGTCGAAAATGGTTCGCCCTGCACGAATTGCCGTTTGGACCAAGTAGAGTGCATTGTCACTGAGAGCAAGAGGAGAAAGTTCGTCTACGTCGAATACATGTCTTCCGTTTTCCCTCCGCAGAAGTGCCGGCTAACCACGAGCGCGCCTTGTTGCCACTGTTCAGGAAATCACGTGTTGAGGTCGATAATGCAAACCCTCACCAGCTGTCTCAATCCCCTGCAGAAATCCCCGATGACGGGGCTAGTCTGTTCAGGCGACTTAGCGAGTGTCATGGCCTTTCCGATATGGCCCCGGCTTCTCCCTCGCAGCGCTCTGTAGATTTGGATCAGGGGCAGCATATGCCACATCTTTTATGTTCGTATCCCCCCTCGATTAGTCTCGGAGATCGTGGCAAATGACCCATCTCCACTGTATCATGTTCGTTAAGATGCTAATGCGCACTTGTACAGATCAAAGCCAAGCGAACAGAATTGGCTCCGGGGATCGCTATCGAAGAAGAATGGCCCCGAATCCCGCTGTCCCAGCGACGCTTCCTTTGCACCATGTGACTTCGCAGATTCAACAGCTGCTGGACCCTTCCTTCGCCAATACCAGGTCTGGCGGTGTTGTCTTACCAGACTACATCCGCGGATTGCCGCCACGTCTGCAAAAAGAGGACATCGACTATTTGTCCATGAAAGGAGCTTTGACTGTCCCCGACGTGGGACTACGCAACGAATTGCTGAAAAGTTACATCCACTACGTCCACACCTACATGCCCCTCCTTGACCTAGAAGACTTCCTGCAGACGATCGTGCAAAACGATGGCATCCGCCGTATGAGCCTATTGTTATTCCAAGCCGTGATGTTCGCCGGCACAGCTTTTATCGACTTGAAGCATCTCCACGCTGCCGGCTACCCCACCAGAAAGGCGGCTCGTAAAGCTTTCTTTCAGCGTGCACGACTCCTCTATGATTTTGACTACGAAGTTGACCGAATTTCTCTCGTCCAATCATTACTGCTAATGACCTACTGGTATGAGACGCCTGATGACCAGAAGGATACCTGGCATTGGATGGGTGTAAGCTTGTCCCTCGCACATACCATTGGCCTGCATCGTGACCCCGGCAACTCCCGTATGGATGTCCGGCGCCAACGGATGTGGAAACGGATCTGGTGGAGCACATATACGCGTGATCGTCTGATCGCCTTGGGAATGAGACGTCCCATGCGCGTGAAAGACGATGACTGTGATGTTCCGATGTTGACTCTTGACGATTTCGAGTTCCATCCTTTCTCGCCGGAAATTGTGAGCATGGTAGGCAACTCGGAGATTCTTCAGAGCGTGAGCCATCAGAGAGAGCTGGCCTTGATGTTCATTGAGAAGGCCAAACTTTGTCTCTGTGTGAGCCATGTTCTGTCGGCTCAATATTCGGTTCTAAGCCACAAATTCGGTGGAACGATGGAAACCACCATGATGTTGGTACCCAAGAAATCCGCAGCGGAGACCTTCGAGGTTCGTCGTTGTGATCAGGAGCTGGAAGACTGGCTGGCCCACCTTCCGACAGAGATACGCTACGCCCCCGCAGCGCCCTCAAAGTTAAATGAGGCACAGGAAGTTCTTCACTCTCATCGTGCACTCCTGAAGATGGTTTATTTGACCACGTCCAGCGCTCTTCATCGCCCTCAAGTCCTACCTGCGATCCCGTTCCCTTCGATGGACGCCGAACTACAGGAGATTTCTAGGAATAAGGTGCGGTTTGCTGCGATCGAAATTACAAACATTGCCCAGGATCTACACAGCCTAGACCTGACCCGCTATTTCCCTACCACTGGCGTTACGGTCCTGCTTCCCGCTGTGATTATTCATCTCCTCGATATCAAGTCTAGTGACCACAACGTTCGGATGACCAGCCTTCACCGGTTCTACCAGTGCATGCGCATATTACAACGTCTGAGAGAAATCTATGCTTCGGCAGACTTCGCGACGTCGTTTTTGGAGGCAGCCATTCGCAAGGCCGGAATTCAGCTTACAGTAGCACCGCAAGATGTACAGGCACGGACGAACAGCATAGTTGACACCTCAGCACGTGTCAACACTTTGACCCCGCCCCCCGACTCTCTCGCGCAGAAGATCCCTGACTTGACGTATCCGAAATCTGATGGCGCAAGACGTGCCAATCAGCTTCCCAAGGAAAGCGGTCCTGAATTCGCATCAACGCCCCCACCCTCCGACGGTAGCGAGAATGGGAGCACTAGCAACATCAACCCCAGTTATCACCAGGATGCCTTCACCATCCCCAACTTCGATTCGGAGCTGAGCATCAGTGAGCTCATGGACCTGGCGAATGATGCGGAAGTAACCCAGAACGACTTCGATGCCTTGATTAACTTTGACGATGCCGGTGCGGACTTCCTTGCCCCCGATGATGGCTTGAATACCGGGAATGGTAATGGGAAGAACTATGGCTTCGGCTTGGGTACCATGAACAATCTCTCCGACATCATGGGTTTCGATACCGAGAAACCAGGCGTTGGTCTGACCGGCTTGGGAGACGGACAGCTTGCCGACGATCGCGCTGCGGCATCACGGAACGATATGAACACTTTCGCAGCCGACCTCGATGCGGAACTCGGCCTGAGTCTTTAAGCGGCTTGGAAACATCGTTGCGACATTATTTCATATTTGTGCCATGATCTAGAACTCATTTGCTTTCTGCACTGCTCTTGGCGATTTTGTTTGGCCATTTGTTAAAACAGGCCCCTTTTACAACATTTGTATGCATCAAAGGGAAATGGGCGCTTGGCGTTCGCGGGCTCTTATGTACCGGGTTCGAAATTCTGTGAACCTCGGATCGGTTGATGCTTATTTCTTATGTACTTCATGTGCCTGATTTGTCCCCTTGCACGGGGCGATTGTTCCCATTATTTGTACATACAGAGTCGAAAAGTACGACATGAGAAAATGAATGACCTAACGCATGCTACTCGGGTTATGGTAAACTTAGCCTCGTCGGAGAGTTGTAGTAGCTTATGTTGATTGAACTCTGTATGGCTGACAAGCGGCCAATTGTCAATACGGGAGCAGGTAGATCGATGGAACTGAAGAGGATCTCGACTTCTTGTAGACCACCCTTGCTGGGCATTCTTCAGGTATGTCTGTGCTGCTGCTGCTGCTGCTGCTCGATCACCCTTGCAGTGAACTCCACCCATTGACCGCTTGGGAGGGATCTTCTTATCACCGTCAATACTGTGTGACATCTGTTGAGTCGGTACGATCGGTTCATATTTCTCTCCATACAGTGGAAGCTGGCAATGTCTGGAGAGGATTATCTGCTAGGATGAAAGAACAGACACCTGCAGATGGGATCAAGTTAATAGGACGTTGTGGAACAAACCGTCCTCATACCTTCAAAACTTGCTCAGTCGCAGCATCTTGAGCGGACCGGATAATACGCCTGTATACCTTCCAGGTATTCAGTCTGTGCCAGTTTGTTGTCTCAAGTGGAGATCCAAGATGTGGTGGAGAGGAGGTCCCGTGCATACCAGTCCCGATCAGGCAGGTGCTTTGGGGTCAGGCACACTTCCCGTCTTGTCTGTCTCTCCCTCCGTCATCCATTCATTTTCTCTCTCTCTCTCTCTCTTCTATCTTCTTTTCTCATTCCACCTGTTATTGGTGTCAACGATGGTCTGCACATCTTCTCCTGTTTTGTGTCTTTTTCTTGGCCTCTTCCCCCGCACCGGGCACTTGAATCATCCTGTTCAATCCCGGTCCCTGCATCATCTTACTCACAGCCACAGCGTCTGCCATTGTGTAGCCAACAAATAGCTCTCCACCATCATCCAATACCTGTCCCGCCAAGGAAGTTAGGCCACCGATACCACATTGACTGAGTCACAATCCTTTCTCCATGGCCTTTCATTCCGGACACGGATTCGATCAGTCAACTGTTACAGTACCCATCAAGCACGGCTGGTTGGGTTCAGGTCCTGTGAGGCACGGAATCAAAACACCCAAGACACTAAAAGTACCAAGGTACAGCACTAGCGAGACAATGTGTTATCACTATTATTGGCAAATTGAGCACGGGATATCTCATGCAGGGTTCGGCTCCATCCACCCCCTCCTCTTCCTACCCAGTCATTCCTTTCCGCCTCGGTTATTGGAGGAGATGCTGCGCTGCTCAACTGACGCCTCACCGATCAGGCCGGAAACGGCGGCGGGATACAACCTCGTTTCCACACAATAGTGTTTGTCTTCTGCAAGCTGCATGGCATGCTAATCTCCGCCAGCATGGTATCTTCTATCCACTGGATATGAATCTCTCTCCCCTCACACCATGTGGGCCTGCGACTCTTCTCTCAAACTTTGTCGCTCATGCAACGATGTAGTATATAAAGCCCTGGCTGGGGTTGACATCCCCCACCCATCGGTCTTTTGCTGACCCTTCTCCTTGGAGGACTTCTCGAGTGGCTTGTTGTGCATGTATAGATTTTAATTTCCAAGGACATTTAACTAGGTATAGCTGTTATTAAGTCTGTTCTTGCATTGAACAACACCATGCGTGGCTCTCAGTTGGTGCTCTTATTGCCCCTGGCTGCACTCAGTTGTGCTATGCCCGAGAATGAATGGTCATCTACGATAAGAAGGCAGTTACCGAAAGCACCCACTGGCGTCAAATCGATAAAAACTCCGAACAATGTCACTATCAGGTATAAAGAACCAGGAACCGAAGGCGTTTGTGAGACGACGCCTGGAGTCAAATCATACTCCGGATATGTCGATCTTTCGCCAGAGTCGCATACCTTCTTTTGGTTTTTTGAGTCACGTCGTGATCCCGAGAATGATCCAGTGACTCTGTGGCTGAATGGTGGCCCTGGAAGCGATTCTTTGATTGGGCTTTTCGAAGGTTGGCCAAATTTCGAAGCGGAAAATAGTAAAGGCTTGCATGTTCTGACGCTTTCACAACAGAGTTGGGTCCGTGTCACATCACCCCAGAGTACGAATCAATCATCAACCAGTACTCCTGGAACGAAGTCACCAATCTTCTTTTCTTGTCCCAGCCCCTTGGTGTGGGTAAGAAATATTGCTGCCTTGATACATCCCGAGTACATCGCTTACGATCTTATCTGCAAAGGATTCTCTTACAGTGAAACTGAGGCCGGGTCCTTGAACCCGATTACTGGAGTCGTCGAGAACGCCTCGTTTGCTGGAGTTCAGGGCCGATACCCAGTTATTGATGCCACAATCATCGGTTAGTTGACTGGCTTGACTCTCAGTTAGCATTCTTCTCATGTTCCTATCTTACAGACACGACCAATATCGCTGCACGTGCAACCTGGGAGGTACTTCAGGGCTTTCTCGGTGGTCTGTCGCAGCTAGATTCTGAAGTCAAGCCCAAGGAGTTCAATCTCTGGACGGAGAGCTACGGAGGGTAAGTGCAGCTTTCAGATCAGATTGACGTGTGCTGACTTGATCAAGACACTATGGACCAGCTGTAGGTTTTCTTCTCTGGATGCACTCATATGAAGCTGATGACCGAAGTTCTTCAATCATTTCTATGAGCAAAATTCCAAGATTGCTAACGGGGAAGTGAATGGCGTCCAACTTAATTTCAATTCCCTCGGGATTATCAATGGCATCATTGATGCCGCGATTCAGGTGTGTATAAAAGCAGCTCGCGCATACGCTGCGGCCTAAGAAACATCGCTAAGCAATGAATAGGCAAACTACTACCCGGACTTTGCTGTCAACAATACATATGGAATCAAAGCTGTAAGTTTGATATCTGCACGTCGTGGATATCATATCGTTTTTGCTCATACTTGCTAGCTCAATGACACAGTGTACAACTATATGAAGTTCGCCAACACGATGCCCAATGGATGCCAGGATCAGGTTGCGTTGTGTAAATCGACCAACAGAACCTCGCTAGCTGATTATGCTATTTGTACAGAAGCAGCCAACATGTGCAGGGACAATGTCGGTGAGTGGTTTTGCAATTCCCCTGCAGGGATGTATTGATGAAGGTCTTTGCTAAGCTGTTGTACAGAAGGGCCTTATTACCAGTTTGGGGGCCGTGGCGTGTATGATATTCGCCACCCCTACAATGTAAGTGACAAGGATAAGGATTGCACTTTCCGAACAGGGACACAGCTCATGTCTCCGTAGGACCCGACCCCGCCGTCCTACTTTGTTGACTACCTCAAGAAAGACTCAGTCATGGATGCTATTGGCGTGGACATCAACTACACCGAGTCCAGTAGCGACGTATATTACGCGTTCCAGCAGACCGGCGACTTTGTATGGCCGAATTTCATCGAGGACCTCGAAGAGATCCTCCGACTCCCCGTACGCGTGTCTTTGATCTACGGCGATGCCGACTACATCTGTAATTGGTTCGGTGGTCAGGCCATCTCGCTCGCAGTAAACTACCCCCATGCAGCTCAGTTCCGTGCAGCGGGATACACACCCATGACGGTAGATGGGGTTGAATACGGGGAGACGCGCGAGTATGGCAACTTTTCTTTCACCCGCGTATATCAGGCTGGGCATGAGGTCCCATACTATCAACCGATCGCAGCGTTACAGCTGTTCAACCGTACTTTATTTGGATGGGATATTGCAGCGGGTACAACTCAGATTTGGCCCGATTATACCACCAACGGCACTGCGCAGGCTACACACACGCAGTCGTTCGTACCACTGTCCACAGCGTCGAGTACCACCGACGACTAGGATTGCGGGGAAATTTCCCCTGTTGTGTTAATTATTCCGATACTTGCTTGTCCTTAACCCTAAAGAGTGGCACGCAAGCTTTCCTAGACATGTTTGCTTTCCGAGATAATGTATCCTTCCACCATGTCGTCCTACAACTTATCGGGTTTCTTGCAACACTTTGCAGCGACTTTAAAGATTCATGTCATATTAAGTCCATTACGGATATTCGTAACTTGCTGTGGCTGACGTAATTGTGCCTCAGCTAGATGTCGTGATACGCTCCAAAACCCAATCTGATCATGGATATCCAGCGAAATAACAGGAAGGAAAATAGAACATAACCAACCACCAAAAACACAGAGGCTAATGCCTGGCCATCATGGAACTCCAGCAACCTCTTTCCGCTGAAATGGAATGCGTGTAAAAATAAGAAAGCTTAGTCATCATTTCACGATGGCCAACTCTGGATCCTGCTTCTTCTCGGAAGGATGGTCTTCCAGCGGGACACCCACTTCTTGAGCGGTCTCATCCGAAAAGTTGAGGTCCGCTTCGACGTCGGTATGCTCCTTGATCTTCAAGAACACTACGGGCGACGCAATGACAAGACTGCCGGCGAGCAAGCCCCAGCAGGAGGCAAATTCCGTCATGTAAGGGGTTCCCACGGCATCCATGCTGCGGCAAAGTATAAATATTAGCTTCTGCGCCTGAATCCGCGAGCGAAGGGGCTTCTAGGACTCACCGCCACATGCCAGCTGCACCAGCAGACTGGATGCCTTTGTAGAAACCGGCGAAGTTGGCCAACTTTCGAGCGTTGTTAGTCAGTGAACCCATGAACCTACACAACCCGTATCAGTCAGTAAAATGCACATAATAAGCGCAGCCGCCAAATGGGGAGTTAACAGCGGCACTAACCAATAAGCACAGGTCTGGAAGGCAGCGTCATAGAAACCATAAAACATGTACAAGAACATGGGCCCGACATAGCCGCTGGTCGTCCAGTCGGTATCTGCCTCGACATCCTTCCGGGTGTATGTCTTCTGGAAAGCATAACCACCGCCCCAAACGCCCATTGTGAGGGCAAAAAGGAGTCCAAGACCGAGCTTGGCTCGGACTGGGCGGGTAAGGAACTTCAAGTCGAGGATCTGGCCGAATACAAATGCGCCAATCATTTGCATAAGCCAGTAGAGGAGATTGTTGAGGGCCCGCGTCCGGATGGTGAAAAAAGCACCATTGACACTGTTGAATTGATAGGCAGTAAACCAGTTGCTCCCCAAGAACATGGGAAAGAACAGGATGATGTAGTAGTCGGTCCGAATGGTGTCGTAGAGACCTTTCAATTCGGACTTCCACGTGGGGTTCTTCATCACAATGACATGCGAGCCATCCTTGCGCTTAACATACTTCGAGTCTAAGAGGGCCCAGGCAAGGACAAAGCCAAGCGCCATGAGCACCATGAAGGCGATGTAGGTGCCGTCATTCACCTGACCAGCTTCAGAGTGCAGGTTTTGACCCAAAGGTACCTGTATATCAGGGTCAGAGAAGTACTACCTTTTGAGTAAACCACCAAAGGACTCACCAAGCTGCCAATCACACCACCCAGGTTGAAAATCACCCAGAAAATAGCAATGAATTTACCCTTCTCCTTCTCGTTCGGGTAACTCATCATGACCGCACCCTGCGCACACCACAGCAGACCACCGCAGACACCTAATAGCGCGCCCGCAAAGATCAGGAAGCCGGAGTTCTTGTTATGGTTGTACGACAGAAGGGAGGCCACATAGAGGAAGTAGCCAAAGCCACCAATAGAGAGAGTCAGGCGGAGACCAATGCGGTTTGCGATGGACCCGGCGAAGAAACCAACTACTGCGAAGGTGCTGTACAGAGCGGTGTTGGAATCGCTGACATCGGTAGGGTCCACCTGACCACCTCCGCCCAAACCGCTGACTGCATTGAACATGCCCGGGCAGAGGAAACACACGAAGGAGACCAGCAGAAGCTGGGATTCTGGGGAGGCAAAGTACGGCAACGACCAGGGACCGATCTTGATTGGCTTGTACATCCAGGGTTTACCAGTGAGCTGGACTTCCTGACCGGCTTCTGGATCTGAAGTGACCGCGGGGACTTCCTTCTCACGATGGAGGTCTTCCTGTCCCGTCGTAGTGGAAGCCATTGTCGTTGATGGACAGCTTCAATGCTGTATGGAGATGCCCCAGGAACAATGGCAGATGGGGTGAATTGATTTTCGGCTTTTCGGCAGGTCAGCAGACTTACTCAAAACGCGTAGGTGTGTGCATATGTAGACGGGATCAATGGCATGTATGTGCAGGTATAGACAGTGACAGTGTAGAAATGTACGTGCAGGGAAACAGATGTGACGAATGGTGGCTGAGGGAAAGATGGAAGAGACACCTAATAACGAGAACAAGGAAAAAGAGGGAAGAGGAAGAGAAGGAGAAGAAATATAAGAAGTAGATACAATGGAGGAAAACAAACAGGATGAAGGGTATCACTGTGAGAAGAAAGGACGGAACTACCCCGGGGGAAATGAGAAGGATGACGGAGGAGCCAGCGATCCAAAATATGTAGAAATCTGGTAGCACGCACTGGGGCGGACCCAGAGTACTAAATTTAAAAGGGTTGGACTTATGGCAGTGAAGGAGGAAGGAGGAAAAAAGGCAGGATCAGGCAAGGATGTCTTAGATGATCCGGGGTAAGAATGAAGGGGTGGGCACAGAACCAGTAAAGGGAAAACAGTGACTGGTCACGGGCGCAGGCAGAAAAAAAAAAAAAAAAAAAAAAAAAAAAAAAAAAAAAAAAAAAAAAAAAAAAAAAAAAAAAAAAAAAAAAAAAAAAAAAAAGCGTGAAACCCTTGGCCCAAGCTGCAGCTGTGGTGATGATAAATTGGGTGGAAGGAAAATTAAGGTCGATGGGGGCTCTGGCTTATTTTTATCTCCGGGGGCTCGGATATGAATTGTAACATCCAGCTGAGGAGGAATCTCACCTGTCTAAGCCACGAGGAGAGTGCGCCGATGGTGAGGGATCAACTTGGGCAAGGATACCACGGTGGGAGTAGAGAGGATGAGACAACGGTGATAACAGCCATCATCGGGGAGGAGGACACACGACACACAAGAGATAGGCAGAAAAAGGGAGTAGGTAGCTCCGCGATACGAAGAACATCCAAATAGACAAGCAGCCGATTCAACGCCAGTGTTGCAACGCACAAAACCCAATAGGGAACGGGAAAAGTCAATGGGATGACAAGAAAAAGCCGTCGTACCTTATCTCTGGGTCCTCGAGCCGGTGGGCACAGAAGACGCACTAGAAGAACTAGCTTACTCGTTTAGTGAGTGCCGGCGTGGTCAGACGGCGAGATAGTCAAGCACCACAACGAATCATCGGTCTCCGACTGACTCTAGCGGGAACCCGATCAGTCGCAGGATGGAGAAAAGAACAATCGACACGATCCACTCGACCCCAAGCGACCCAAAAGTCAAAACGAGATAGAAAACTAGGGGGTAATAGATGAGTAAGAGAAATAGAAAATGCGGAGATGCAACTCAAAAATAAAAGGGCGGAGGTAACAGAAAATTGTTCACCCAATTAATGGCCAAGGGAATAACAATGAAAAGAGACACTGGATGATTCGAATGTCAAGTAGTAGCCGATCGAAGATCCGACAAGGAAATTAACCAGACTAGCAATGCACCTCCGATGCAAGTATGCCAAATGACAACCACGAGGGCAATGGTCGAGACCCCAAGACCAGTCGCGTGTTATCACGGGAGGTGAGGCTTATCTCCAGGGGTTGGTTGGAGATAATATAGTAGTAGTAGTAGTAGTAGTAGTAAGATGTGAATGGAGCAAAGTAATCGCAGTGATAGCACAGAACAATCTAGGGAGAAGAGGAACTGTTGTGCAGATAAAAGAACGAAAAATAAAAAAGAAAGGAGAATTGAGTGGACGGACGGACCTTTCTCACTGATAATCCATCGACTGGATGTCAGTTGGATAGGATCGATAATCCGGTTTAACTCATCCGTCATCGGATCCATAGTTGATTGGGTTGGTGGTGAAGAACGAAAGAGTGAGAGAGAGGGACGGAGAAGCGCGCGGACAAGGCCGATGGAGCAGACGAGTCGCTGCAACCAAACAAACCCAGAGTCAGCGGAGTCAGCCTCAAGGTGGTTAATCTGGCCATGGAGCCATCCTGATTCACCCGGCGGAGCTGCAAAGGCAACGGTGACATCGCTCCTTCGAAGCTTAGCCGAATGCGGGGAGACGATTCGGCTCATTTGCTGGTACGGTCGTCGTGAGGTAGCATCCAAGAACCCAAATCCCTCCTCTTTTTGACCCTCTTTTTTTCTCTCCCGCTCCGCTAAACCTGTGCTGGTGGCTTTTCGCTACCGATGAGGGTTTTCTTGGGTCTTCCCCGCCCAGTGGAGTCGGACCGGACCCAGTAACCGAACCCAGTGACCCATTGGATAAGAAGAAGAAGAAGAAGCACAGTAAAAAGGAGGAGAATAAGAAAAGAGATTCACCACAAGGAGCGGGAGGATGTGAGATGGGCAATAATGAAGGAAAGTCAGGGAGATTGACAAGAAAGAGAGAGGTGGAAGTGGAAGAATCCTAGGGAATGGAGAGAGAGTAAATAGGAGTGTTTACTAGAAGAAGGGGAAGCTTGAAAGGTCAGAGAATGGGAATGGAATTGGGAATGAATGAATGAATGCATGCATGCAGACAAACAACTACACACTGTTCCTTCCTGTTTGGGGTTTGCTATTCAGAGTACCCGAAAAAGGCAAGTACCCTGAGTCACGTGAATATGTATCAATCCAAGACGTTGTTGAGTATCTGAGCCGTATTGATGTATTGTTGGTATGGTTTCACTTCCCATCCTGTAAAATACGGGGGTTGTTCGTGTCGGTATTGATTATGACGAGACAGACGAGATAAGGAGCTCAATATGCAACATGACCTCACGACATACTCCAGTAATTTGGCCTATCAAATTATGTAGTTCTCCAAATCTAATTAATCCCCTTCAATTTGACTGCTTCCTCGTCTAAATAGACTAGTTCATCAAGTCTATAGTCACTTGCTCCATCGGCTATCTCCCTCAAGAACCCACTCCGGAGTAACTCCTTACTGCCAACCATGGACGGATCCCGGGGAAGAATGTCACCTCGTCGTCCTCCCTCTAGTTAATCTTTCGCCTTTACTGTCCGATCCATATTCAATGTCTCTACACATCGACGTCACATTCCGGCCCATCACGCTCCCCCAAACCATGGGAATGGCAACGTCAATTACCCCAAGCCGTTTTTCCCGAGGCCAACCGCACAATCATCATGGCGATCGAGCTTGTCCACGTTGCCTGCCCCTGCCTTTTGCCCCATCCAAGTTCCTGGTTCAATGTCACCATGTACTTTGTAGTATTATTCCCTCCAACTCTTCCCATTCATTCATAATGTCCTACCAATTTCCCTCCTACCCCGCAACCAATTTCCTCTTCCTCTCGTCCCGTCTCTTCCCTATTTTCCCTTAGTAGTTCAGACAGCCCATCCATCCGTCCGTCCGTCTATCTTCCCCTCTCCTCACATCATCGACTGACTCCCCAAAGTCTGGTGGTGAGCGCGGCGCGGCTCGAAGTATACCCAACATGCCTGGCAAAACATCCACCTCCCTGCCCCGCATCACCAAGTTCACCAACTGCCGTATCGTCAAGGGACTTGACCTCGTCGAGCAGGACGTATGGATTGATTCAATCTCTGGGAAGATTCTTAAGGATCAGGAGGCCTTTTATGGATTACATCTCTCCCCCGATAAGGTCATCGACCTTGGCGGCCGCATCTTGGCTGCCGGCCTTATCGATGTACAGTTGAATGGTGCTCAGGGCTTCGACTTCTCCGTTCCCCAGGCCTCAAAAGAACTGTACGATGAAGGTTTGCGGGCCGTCAACAAAGGTCTTGCCAGGACGGGGGTGACTTCATACCTCCCGACGGTAGTCAGCTCTACTCCCGAAGTCTACTGGCAGGTATTTTCTCACTTACCCCCCACACCTCCAGATAACCAGTAAACTGGAAATAAGCGGCAACAGAGGCTCATTCTTGATACGCAGGTACTTCCATCGCTAGGTGCTTCTGGAAAGAGCCATCGCGCCGAGGATGGCGCGGAGTCGCTAGGCGCTCATGTCGAAGGTCCATTCATCAGCACTGGCCGTAATGGCGTGCATAAGACCGAAGTTCTTCGTGCAGCAACATGCTTCGAAGATGTCATCGCTTGCTATGGCAAAGAGAACCTCACCGGCCCATCCAAATCAGTTCGCATGATCACAGCAGCTCCTGAAGTCGGAGACATGCTGCCGAACATTCCCTCCCTCACATCAGAGGACATCATCTACTCCATTGGCCACTCAGACGCAACGTATGAGCAAGCCCTTACCGCCACCCAGCAAGGCGCCACCATGATCACCCATCTTTTTAACGCAATGCGCCCCTTCTATCACCGGAACCCCGGTATCTTCGGCCTCCTAGGGCAGAATGAATGCCCGCGACCATTCTACGGCGTCATCGCCGACGGCATCCACCTGCATCCCACCTCGATCCGCATTGCCTACAACGCCCACCCCGACGGCCTCATCCTCGTCACTGATGCCATGAAGCTATGCGGTCTCCCCGACGGTATCTACGACTGGACCAATGGCGAGCGCATCATCAAAAACGGCGCCCGGCTGACCCTCGAGGGCTCGGACAAGATCGCCGGCAGCTCAGCCACCCTCATTGAGTGTGTCAACAATTTCCGTCGCTGGTCAGGCGCCTCCACGGCCGAGGCTCTGAACGCAGCTTCCGCCACCCCCGCGCGCCTCTTGGGTTTACAGGGCGTCAAGGGGTCCCTGGAGAGTGGCGCGGATGCGGACTTGCTTGTGCTGGATGATGAGGAGGACCCCTTCTCGGGCCCCACGTTGACTGTGAGACAAGTCTGGAAGCGCGGAGTCAAGATCTATGATACCGGCAAATAATATGCAGCGTCTTTTGAATTGCGCACATACTGTCTGAACGAGTTATGCGCTGCAGAAATTGTTTGGTTGTTACTCATTCATGCGTTACGCTCGAAATTCGATCTTTCTAGCAGGCTTGGGAGTTTTGGTTTGGATTCTGCTGCTCATTTCTTCTTGGCTCGCGTCGGTTTAGAGACTTGCACGGGGCGGACTGTCGTGGGTTTTTTTCCTTGCCTCTCTTTTTGTACTTGGGTCATTTACACAACCGGAATAAAGTAGACCTCCCATTTGAATAGTAAATAGAATGCCAATCATAGATACAAGTCATTTCAGCTGCTTTATGAAGATCGATATTGTTTCTACATGGGTGTACTAGGCATTTTGAAAATAAATTCTTATCTCTATTTCTTTCGGTATGTCTGGTGCTTCCTGCGCAACATGCCAGTGCTATATAATACAAGCAGATAATGACTTGGGATGCATGACAACCCAGATCACATTGTACATGAGATAATGGTACTGCAACAGCAACCAAACAATTCAAAAAGACAAGCCAGGATATCACACCAAGGACAGATAACTGTATATCCATGAACCTTCCCCTGATCTGGCTATTTTTCTTCGCTTTAAAATCATCAATCGTAAATCATGTAAGGCAAGCCGACTCCATCGCATATGCATGCATCTGTCGATCGAAGCTGAAGCCCTCACTTGGAGACTACACATGCAAAGAAAATAAAATCTCAATCGCTTGGGTCATGCATGCGCCGTTCCAGAATCAACTCCTTGCTCTTTATTTTTTTAATTTGCTTTTGATTTTGCGGTTTGGATGAAAGGGCCACGCGCTTACAGACGGGGCTGCTCGCGCTTCCATCCGGCCTCTTCGGCGATGAGCTCCGCAGCACGCTCACCAATGGCCAACACAGTCAACATGGGGTTGATAGTGGGCATCTCAGGGAAGACACCGGCATCGGCGATACGAACATTCTTCAGACCGCGGACCTTCAGCTTGGGGTCGACGACGGCCATGGGGTCGCGAGTCAAGTTACCCATCTTGGTAGTACCAGCGGGGTGGTAGACGGTGTGGGCAACACGACGACCATACTCGGAGAGCTCCTCATCGGTTTGCACGTTGGGGCCGGGGGCAACCTCGCGCTTGATCCAATCCTTGAAGGGCGACTGCTTGGCAACCTCACGAGCCGCCTTGAGACCAGCCACGATGGTAGCGGCATCATAGCCCTCAGGGTCAGTGAAGTAACGGAAGTCCAAGGCCGGCTTGACGCTGGGGTCAGCCGAGGTCAGGTAGATACGACCGCGGGAGCGAGGGCGAGGGATGTTGGGGGTCATGCAGAAGGCATCGACCGGAGTGTCGTAACCCAGACGCTCGGTGTTCAAGCAGAAGGGGATCTGGTAGCAGTGCATCATGATGTCGGCAGCACGACCATCGAAGCCATTGGCGTTGGGAAGCTCACGACGCAGGAAGATACCAGCGTCAGAGTCCATGGTGGTCTGGTTGGGGGGGACGGGGCGGTTGAGCTCCCAGATGATGATACTCTCGGGGTGGTCGAGAAGGTTCTCACCCACACCGGGGATATCCTTCACAACGGGAATTCCCAGGCCAGACAGCTGCTCGCGAGGTCCCAAGCCAGACAGCATCATCAGACGGGGGGTGTCAACGGCACCAGCGCACAGGATGGTCTCCTTCTTGGCGCGCAGGGTGTGCTTGACGCCCGACTGCAGGGTCACGTCAACACCGGTCACAGAGTCTCCATCAACATTGACGCGGGAAACCCAGGCATTGGTGAGGATAGTCAGGTTAGGGCGCTTCTCCTCGCCACGGAGGATGGGGTGGATATAAGCGACACTGGCGCTGCTGCGACGACCATCATCGGGGTTGTAAGAGACGGAGAAAAAACCGACACCCTCGGTCAGTTCACCCTTGGAGCGGATCTCCTTGTTGAAGTCTTCGATAACGGGGATGTTCATGGCGGATGAGCAAGCCTGAACCCAGTCCTTGCACAGCTGGTTGCGGTGACGGTTGTGGACGGGCTGAACGGTGTTGCGCAGGTTGTCCAGGACGCGAGTGAAGGTCTCGAAAGACCAGCCAGTGCAGCCGGCCTGCTCCCATCTCTTGCAGTCGTATTCGAAGGGACGGAAAGAGATCAGGGTGTTGTGGCTGGAGCAACCGCCCAGAACCTTCGCGCGGGAGTGACGGATGTAGCTGTTACCTGTAGAGTGAAAGAGGGCATGAGAAAGGTGATCTGCGATTGATGGTTGTTCGGATGCAAGGAGAGAGGTTTCACAACATACCCATGGGCTGTTCAACGGTGGGGTAGTCGTAGTCCAACTCGCCGCCAAGCAGGTTGAGCCACTCCTTCAGCTTGAGCACACGATCATCCATGAAGTCGCTGGGGCCACCCTCGATGATGAGGATGCGCTTGTTGGGCAGGTATTCAGCCAGACGACTGGCGATGACACAGCCAGCTGTGCCACCTCCGACGATGACATAGTCGTAGCTGTTGACATCACTAGCGGGGAATTCGTTTGTGGTGGCCATTTTGAAATATAAAAGATAAGCAGAAGTATATTACTTTGATGCAGAGGAGATCAGAAAAAGAGAGGAGATTATGGGAGAAGAGGGGAAGGAGGATAAGAGATAAGGATGAGGAGAAGAAGAGGGACGCGCGATGGAGAGAGGAAGAAGTAGAGAAAAGAGAGAAAGAGAAATCGGGAAAGATGAAATTGGGGACTTTAAATTTTGCAGGACAATCAAGAGATGCGGTGGTTTCTGAGGCTGAACCGTCAGGCCATGCAATCCATACATTCATCCATTCACTTCCCTATCTTTCTGGATTCCTTATGCTGTTTGGCCTCGTCTTGTTCCTTTCTCACTCTTTTTTCTCACCATTCTTTCCCAATTCTGCCGGGTGGGTCTTCTTCTAAACCCATTCCGGAGAGAAACAGGACCCACACATCTACTCCACCGCATCTTTTTCAAGGCCAACATTGACTACTGAGTGGTGGACCAAAGATTTGGTGGGTCTATTAGTCAAAGCCAAGACTCACGGCAAAGGCGGAACAAAGTTCTTAAACAAAAGTTTTTATCGTTGGTCAGTTTCGGGATGCGTAAGCGCGTTGGCATGCCAAAGCTGTTACGTGATCTGGTAATCCCCCGGATTGTTACTCAATCTTCCCCAAGATTTAGCCAGGTGTTCATCAGATTGCCCGGTCTCGTACTACGTCTTAGTATAGTAGTATATATCCAGCTACGGGGGAATAAGAGGTAGCACCGCAGAATCAGCGGAACAGCAAGGCAGAAGGCGAGTTTGCCACGGTGAAGTTCCGAAGTCTGCCCGTCGTGGATGGTAACCGGGCGGGCACTCCACACGAGATCCAAACACTAGGACACGCCACGATCCCGCCTACTAGTTGGGCGCTAACCAACGGTTATTTCCATCGGAGATGCAGGGCCGAGGCGTATCCCGGGATCGGATTGCCTGCTTTGGTGCGAAAGTTGGAAAAAGTTGAGGAGGGGAAAAGAAGAGATAGGGAGAGAGGGAGAGGGGAGGAAGAGAATAAGGCTGGGCATGTATACAGATACCACATTGAGCCATAGCTTACTGAGTACTCAACTTATATCACCTGCCAGTAAGTATCTAGTTGATCTCCTACCTGGGTTTCTATACAATAGAAATCCATCTCGGCGACATACTGTGGAAGAGGTACCCTTATCAGTTTGAGAGATTTGCCAGACTTCTGCAATTTAGCCCATGTACTATATTCCCAAATCTACCAAGTAAATGAAAAAAAAAAAAAGAAAGAAAGAAAAGAAAAGAAAAGATAAAGCCGAGGTGGGAAAATCATAATAAATAAAAGTAAAAAGGTAAAAGAAAAAGAAAAAGGATCGCCGCCTGCCGGGTTACATCATCGGACATTCCAGCAAATCATCGGGTTGGCGGTGTAGCCATGAAGTACTGTTTTCGGCTTAGGCGCTTCGCCGAGGTACCTGATCTGTACATTAATGCTTCTCTTACTTTCTAATACTTTTTGAAACACCTCTTTTTTTCCCCTCCCCTCACTTTTATCATATCCATCTCTATCCCCTCTGAACCTTTTTACCTCCCCGTTATTGTCAATTCAGTGGTTCTACAGTCCACTTCATCCACTCTCTTTTCTCCTCCCCTCTTTCTATTAACTCTCACTCACCCTTCCAACCATGTCCCTCCCGTTCCCTACGCGCCAACTCTACTATGATGGCAAGGTCCAGCCTGCCACTTCCGGCAAGACTTTCCAAACCATCAACCCTTCCAACGCTACCCCGCTGGCCGATATTCAAGTCGCCGCTCACGCCGATGTAGACTCGGCCATCGCCGCTGCCGACCGGGCCTTCCCTTCCTGGTCTCAAACTCCTGCTATCGCTCGTGCCCGCATCCTCCAGAAAGCCGCCGCCCTTCTGCGTGAGCGCAATGATGAAATTGCTCGTGTTGAAACTCTCGATTCCGGAAAGGCTTACACAGAGACGAGCACCGTGGATGTGGTCACTGGTGCCGATGTCCTGGAGTACTATGCGAACCTGGTTGGTGGCGGTGGTCTGAATGGCGAGACCACTCAGTTGAGGGAAGATGCTTGGGTATACACGAAGAAGGCCCCGTTGGGTGTCTGCGCGGGTATTGGCGCATGGAACTACCCTATCCAAATGTAAGAATAACTCCCCTCCCCTTCGAATTTAGATAGATCCCTCTTCCAATGGGGTTCTGGAGTGTGCAACGGGATTCTGACGAAAACAAATACAGTGCGCTGTGGAAATCCGCTCCCTGCTTGGCTGCGGGAAACACCATGGTCTACAAGCCGAGTGAATTCACCCCGCTCCACGCTCAGACGTTGGCCCAGATCTACACGGAAGCTGGTCTTCCCGCAGGTGTCTTCAACGTCGTGTATGGTGCAGGCGACGTGGGCGCCTACCTGACTGCTCACCCCACGATTGCCAAGGTTTCTTTCACAGGCCAGGTGTCCACCGGAATGAAGGTCGCTGGATCTGCTGCCGGCAACATGAAATACGTGACTATGGAGCTTGGAGGCAAGAGCCCCCTCATCGTTCTTCCTGACGCCGAATTGGATAATGCCGTGGATGGTGCGATGATGGCCAACTTCTATAGCACTGGCCAGGTGTGTACCAACGGCACCCGCGTTTTTGTTCCCTCGAGCATGAAGGCTGCTTTCGAAAAGCGCCTCCTGGAGAAGATGCAGTACATCCGCCCCGGACCTCTGTTTGATGAGGCCACTAACATGGGGCCCCTGAGCTCAGGCGTCCACATGGAGAAGGTAGCCTCCTACATCCGTCACGGAATCGAGACGGACAAGGCCACCCTTCTGTATGGAGGGTTGGGCAAGCCGCAAGTCCCCAAGGACTTGGAGAGCGGATACTGGGTCCGACCCACTGTCTTCACTGACTGCACGGATGACATGCGTATCGTCAAGGAGGAGATTTTCGGTCCTGTCATGTCTATTCTCTCTTACGAGACTGTCGAGGAGGCAGTGAAGCGGGCAAACACCACCGAGCTGGGCCTGGCTGCGGGTGTCTTCACCAAGGACCTTAACCTGGCCCACCGTGTCATCGATCAACTGCAGGCCGGTATCACCTGGATCAACAGCTGGGGCGAGAGTCCGGCCGAGATGGCTGTCGGAGGCTGGAAGAACAGTGGTGTGGGTGTTGAAAACGGTCGTCGCGGTATTGAGGCCTGGGTGAGGAACAAGAGCACCCTGGTGGACATGAACGGCTCCGTCGCCACCGTCTTTGCCAAACTGTAAATGAAGTATGTTTAATGACCCGTCTATATATATGTCTAGATGTCTATAGGAAAAGATAAATAAGAAGTACATATATCTATCGAACAGAGCCGGGAATGTCACTATGCCAGTAGTCAGTGTGCTGGTTGTATCCGCATACTAGTACCAGTATCACTTACTGACTAGTATGTTTTCGTAACCCGCACCATGTAACGGGACGATACCTCTAATGATCAGACAACATACCAATGTATATAATATGTCATTCATTCGTCTGTTTTGTACAGTCTCGGCCAATCTATGTTCGTTCAGCAATTGAAACGCCATGTAAATCCATCTAGTATCTTTCCGGGCACAAAAAGGAATTACCCAATGCATAACCGCAAAGAGACAGCACGTCTAGTTATCAGTTTCGCGAAATGGATGCCAACCGAATAAAAACAAACAAAATAAGTCCCAAGCAAATGACCCTCTTACAATCTACGATTCAGTCTTATCCGCCCCTGGCCACCATCTACCGACATTCCGAAGCCGATTGAATACTGCCCTCGAAGTGGGTATTCTCACGACCTTTCCCCCCTTCAATGTGACGCAACCCGTGATCCCATGTGATCAAAGAACATGTCTCCCTTCAGGGTCGAATCCAGCCCTCCAATCGCCGAGTCAACCATACGTGAAGACATGCTGTCCGGTGTGAGTTCCTCATCCTCTACCGATGTGTTGAGTTCCGTGTTGATTCGGAGGTCCTTGGGTGCTTTGTGAGGTGCGATGTGCGATGGCTGGAGTTTCTCGACACCCACTGGGGCAGGAACGTATGTCCTGGGTCTGTAGACAAGAGGGGGGCCCTGAGTACGTGCATCCGTGCCGGATTGTTCAATTGATTCGAAATAACGGACAGTCTTGACCTTCAGCTCCAGAGTTGCATCACGGTCGCAGACGATCAGCGCATATGGGTGTAGCTGCAGCGCCGACAGTGTCCACATGTGATTGATGCCGCCTTCCAGGCCTTTCTCCACAGCAAGAGCCTTGTGAGCACCGGTAGCCACGATGACAACTTCGCGAGCATCCATGATAGTTTGAATACCCACGGTCAGTGACCTCCGCGGCACCAAGTCCAAGTCATTGCCAAAAAATCGCGAGTTAGCCAAGATCGTATCATATGCCAGGGTCTTGACACGAGTACGACTGCTCAAGGAGGAGCCTGGTTCGTTAAAAGCGATATGCCCGTCTGGACCCACACCACCCAGGAAGAGCTCAATGCCGCCATAGCGAGCAATTCGCGCCTCAAACGACGAACACTCAGCCGCGAGATCGGATGCGTTGCCATCGAGGATATTGATATTCTGGGGCGGAATATCCACGTGGGAGAAGAAGTGCTTATACATAAAGCTGTGGTAGGACTCCGGATGGTCACGAGGCAGTCCAACATATTCGTCCTACTTTGGTTTAGCAAATCAAACGCTGCTTGAATACGGGGCTCCGGGGTCTTACCATGTTGAACGTTACGACATTTCTGAACGAGATATCACCGTCCCTGTGCCGGCGCACCAGAGTCTTATAGATTATCTCAGGGCTGCTACCAGTCGGGAGTCCCAGCACAAAGGGACGGTCTTCACTAGGCTTAAATGACTTTATGCGACCTAGAACGACACCATCAGTAAGTTAACACACACAGAGCAGATGGGAACAAATGATTTGTAGAAGAATGCAGAATACGATGAGAGCACGATGGGTCTCGGGAAGACATACTGATGATGTAATCTGCAATGTATTCTGAAGCTTCAAGGCTAGTCTCCCTAATGATTACTCTCCTAAAGAAGGACGTTAGTTTGTGAATTAACTTAGAAAAGGCGTTTCTCGGGGACGGATGTCATACATGATGGAAGATATTCGAAGAAGGATGGGAATACTACTACGTCACTGATAAGGATATTGGGGGGGATAACAATGAGGGGTGTCACAAAAGCGAGGACAAAGCAAAGGAATATAAAATGGGTAATAGATGTGTGATGAGAAAATATGAATGAGGATGAAGAAGGTCAGAGGTATGAAGAAGAGAAGAAGGAGGAGAAGGAGGAGGATTGAAGGGGGAGAGATGGTAGAAAGGCGGTTGGAGGGGAATAGATATTTTCTGAGAGATGTAAAGAAGAGGAGAAGAAGAATGAGGCAGGGTACCGTTGGGAGGTTAATAATGATTGTTAGAGCCGGCAACTCCATCCCAACCATGGCTCTGTTACAGTACAAGTTTCCATTCTATCCGGTAGGTCTGGATCGATCGACCATGTGGAGTGTGACAGAATGATACATGGACTTGCTGGACCTTCCCTCAGACCGTGTCATAGTCGGGTACTACTAGTATGTACTTATAGTAGGCTTTCAAAGTGAGATCTACATCGAGTCAACGCCGAGATCACCATAACGGTAGGTGATGACGACGACCTCGCCGCTATGATACACCCAAAGAGTACGTTTCGAGTGAGCGAAAGAAAAGGTTTTTGCCTTTACTCATGGAATTGCATGAGCCGAAATGGTTCACCCAGTGTAGGTTGGTAGGCAAGTAGCTGTCCGATGACGCAGCACTTTCTAGTACTGGTAATATTGTCTTTTATTTTCCTTTATTTTATTTTTTCTTATGTCATTAGTAGTACTTACTTGCTCAATGACTCCTATGAGGCTGCCAATCAGAGTACTGCATTAGCATCCAAGGCAGCTGCAAAAGAACCTGAACGGGTTAGCCGAGAGACGAGGGGATGTGGGAAAGAAAAGATGGCAAAATAGAAATGGAAAAAGGCGATTGTCACCGAATGGTATCATCAGCAGCAGCAACGTGATGTTGCAGAAGGGGGTGGCATGGGGCGAATCGGCTTGAGAAGATGCTCAAAGAAGCTTGCCAAGGAGGACATCCCCGAGGCAGGTGACCGTGGTGTGGCATATCTACTAGTAACTAAGATACTACTAGTAGTTAGTTAACTATCATGTTGATGATAACGCTGATAAAAGAGTTGAAGGGAGGGGGGCGCCTAACCTGACGGGGCAGCGTCCCAGTGCTTCCGTTTCATTCAATTGGTTCAAAGACTGTTGGCGGGCGTTGCCGTTGCATTCGGCCATCGCGGCAAACCGGGGAAACAAGCCCTGTGTGTCACAGACCCATGCAACCCTCCAGGCTCCCTACGCTGTGACTAGTTGGTAAGGTATGGTACAAAGAATACCCGTCCGAGAGACTGCGTATGGTACGTATTAATCTGGAAATACTTTTCATCGGTCATTGTTTCGGTATCGTAACGAGAATGTATCTCTGGTACACCACGTGAGCGCTTCACACAGATTATCCAGCGGAACATTATTCTTCCAGCACACATGGGGGCTGGATGTGCCAATACCGAGACCGGTGCAGGGAGGAAGGATGCCCTCCATGGTGATTCGACTATCATTCTATCTACTGCTAGATGGACAATAATACTAGGATGGGCATCATCCATCTATGATCTATCTCCTCCCAAAGGATCTCCTAGGCTTTACACCCGTTGTCCGTGCGGCAGACATACAGACAGACAGGTAGTAAGTAGCCTGTCCTGTTAGTCAGGACCTCCCATCCCATCCTGGGAAATTGGACTGGACGGAGGCTCGCTCAACCGGCCACTCATCATCTGATTCCTTCTCCGATCCGCCCGGGCTTTACTTATCTGATCCATGAAGCTTGCGAGCTAAAGCAAGAGGTAGCTTGGTATCAACTGCCGGCGCCGACGCGCCTGTCCGCCCACTTTTCTTTGACGTTTGCAACCGACTACCTTATTGACTGGGACTCCCTCGATTCCGTCCGATTATTCGGTGGTTGCATTTCCGTTCCAAACCTACAGTCTCTTTTCCCCCTTATCAGTCCTTCTATCATACTACTACTATTACTACTCTATTACTGCTGCTGCTGCTGCTACCACCTACCCCATCCATCATTCCGAAACAAGATTTCCTTTCTCTGCCATTGCACCCGCAACATTCCTTCCCACGCCGGGCTCTCATGGCCCCCAGAGAGGACATGTTGCCGCCTGGCTGGGAGGATCTAGACAGGTAGGAGTGTACTACTAGCCTTGGCATTCCCTTTTTCGATCTAAATTCTAGTATTCGTTCCCCTTTCTGTCTCTTCTGTCATTGATTGATACACTCCTCCCCCCAAGTTACCAATACTTACTTAACCATCTGTTGCACATGTCGGACCTTTCTGTACTTGTCTGTTTCGGAACTAAAAAGGACGTAACTGGCCTGCGTCGGCTCATTCCTGCCATGCATCCCATCCCGTCCATCTAGTTTTCCTCCTTATACCGCCTCCCTCTCAACCTTGCTCCCTTCGGAACACCCCCTCCATCTCATCGTTGCATTTCGTTTCCATTGATCATGGCTGACGGTTAGGCTGTCACATCGTCCCTTGGCAGGCAGATGGGCCAGCTATTTATGATGGGCTTCGACGGAACGTCTGTTAGCCCTCAGATCCGCTCATTGATCAAAGACTACCATCTGGGCTCGGTCCTACTCTCTGCCAAGAATCTAAAATGTATCTTCGCACCTCACCCTTTTTTATCACTTATTTTTCCCCAATGGATAGTAGCTGCCTTGCAGTCATGTCTCCCACCTTTCTGTAAATCCCAGATGCTGATCCACGTCTAGCTGCCGAGGATGCAACGCGACTGGTCCTGGAACTCCAGACAATTGCCCGGGATGCTGGCCATCCGGTGCCACTACTCATCGCTCTCGATCAAGAGAACGGAGGCGTGAATAGTCTGTATGACGAGATATACATCCGACAGTATCCTAGCGCCATGGGAATCGCCGCTACGGGCTCGAAAACTCTGGCCCACGAAGTCGCAACGGCCACTGCACAGGAGCTTAAGGCAGTCGGGGTTAACTGGATCCTCGGCCCAGTTTTAGACGTACTCACAAACGTACGGACCCAGCCTCTAGGCGTCCGCACCACCGGTGACGACCCGCAAGAGGTGTCGCAATACGGTGTGGAGTTCATGAAGGGCTACCAGAAAGCAGGTTTGGTCACCTGTGGCAAGCATTTTCCGTCATATGGTAACTTGGAATTCCTCGGGTCTCAGACTGATGTCCCAATCATCACGGAGTCACTGGAACAGCTCAGTCTCACTGCGTTGGTGCCTTTCCGCAACGCTATTGTCCAGGGGCTGGACTCCATGATGGTTGGGGGCGTTTCAATGTCCTCCGCCGGCGTCAACGTTATGCATGCCTGTCTGAGTGAGCAAGTTGTTGATGATCTGCTACGGAAGGACCTGAAATTCCAAGGCGTTGTCGTTTCGGAGTGTCTAGAAATGGAGGCCCTCACACACAACATTGGTGTTGGCGGAGGAACGGTGATGGCCAAGAATGCGGGATGTGATATTATACTCCTCTGCAGGTCGTTCCAGGTGCAGCAAGAGGCTATCAATGGCCTAAAACTCGGCGTGGAGAACGGTATCATCGGGCGGGCCCGCATAGAGCAATCTTTACGCAGGGTTCTTAACCTGAAAGCCAAATGCACCTCCTGGGAGCGGGCCCTCAATCCTCCCGGCATCCCTTCGCTTACGCAGATGCAACCGTCTCATACAAGCCTCTCCACCCGGGCATACAATAGCTCTATCTCAGTTGTGCGGGATAAAAAGAACCTTCTTCCCCTTTCCAACATCTTGGAATCAAACGAAGAGCTGCTTTTACTCACGCCATTAGTGAAGCCGCTGCCTGCTTCAGCCGTATCCCGCTCCGTGAGTGAGCACTCAAATGTGTCGCTCGATCCTATATCATGGGACCGGACGGCTTCCGTGCTGAGCGGCGAAAGCGTCTTCAAGGAGCTTGGACGGTCCCTTTCGCGGCAAAGGAGTGGCCGTGTCTTGCATACATCTTACACGGCGAACGGCGTGCGTCCGATCCATGAAAATCTCATTGACCGGGCCAACGCAGTGATCGTTGTCACTGCAGACGCTAACAGAAATCTATACCAGCATGGGTTTACTAAACACGTCTCTATGATCTGTAGATCACAATTTACCCCATCTGGTGAAGCTCGCGAGAAGCCTCTCATTGTTGTCGCTGCCAGTTCTCCATACGACTTCGCCATGGATCCATCTATTGGAACCTATATTTGCACCTATGATTTCACTGAAACCGCCCTGGAAGCCCTGGTCAAAGTACTCTATGGAGAGTTGAACCCCGTTGGCTCATTGCCTGGTTCTATAAGCCGCAGCCAGAAGCTGCACCAAGCAAGACAACACTGGCTGGTAGAAGCTTGGAATGAGGAGAGAGATGCACGCTCTTTAGATTCCCTTCTGGACGCGGTCAGAGGAGATTGTGCCCAGGGACAACGTTCAGAATTATTGGGAGTAACTTCGAGCAGCTTCCTGCTTCGGCGGGAGGAGGTTGACGAAGCGCATTTCGTCGTTCGGAACAGCAGCACTCAAGCATTATACGGCTTTTGTTCTACGTACTTCTTTCGCTCCACGGGGACTGGTGTTATTGGATCTTTAATCGTCCATCCTGCGCGACGAAAGTTGTCGATAGGAAATTCACTCCACAGCCGCGCCATTCGAACACTTCTCCAGCGAAAAGGCGTGAAAAGATTCCAGCTCGGATCACGGCTTCCAGGGATTTATCTTGGTATCCCATCGGCGAACCCAGTAGAGCGTAAAAGGCTGCGGCAATGGTTTGCAAACCTGGGCTGGAACACGGCGCTCTCGCGGCCCGTTTGCAGCGTGGTGCTCCGCAACCTGACCACTTGGACGCCACCCGACGGGCTGGTCTTTGGCCTTCAAAATGCAGACGTGACCTATGACCTCGTCCATGGCTGGGATTACGCGGATTCCATCCTTGACCATATCAAGACGAACTCCAGGCAAGGTGTGATAGACATCTACAGGGTAGCTCTAGGAGGGGCTCCACATTGTGGCATCATTCGGGCTACACGGCCTGGCGATGGGGCTATCCTGGGAAGCGTAGTCATATATACCGGACGGGCGACCTTGGCGGAACATATGCCCGCGTTGAAGTCTACCCAAGTCCCGGCAGGAGGTATCTCATCTCCAGTTATTTCGCCTTCAGTTGGCGAGTACGCCACAGTCATGCAGGGGTTGGTCTTGCTAGGCATCAAACAGATTCGCAAACAAGGCGCCGAGGCGGTGATCATGGACAGTGTGAGTTACTATGCCGTTTGGTTGGTGTTCAAGATCCATCGTAATAACATGCTGGTTCTAGGTTGATATCGATGGCAGTTTTGACTGCTTGTCAGGACTGGGTTTTAGCACTCTGCACAGCTTCGAAGAGGTCAATTGCGACGCAGCGACATGGACCATGGTGCCTGGACCTTGACCGCTTTTCCTCTTGTGAACCCACCGAAATCTCACTTGGTCTCGATACTCATTTGCTTGGTTGCCTGCTGCCATATGTATGATTTCTGGAGGCTTCTCGGCATCGTACATACGATATCCACCATATAGTTGCATCTTTCCTTGTAACATGTGTTCTCTCGCCCTGTTTCGCGAGCTTTTCTGTTGGGAGAGTTCAACGCCTTTCCTCTCTATGTCTGTATTAAGATACCTTCTTAGCTGGTTCCATCGAGCCAATCAGCCGAATGTGATTCCAGGACTGACCACGTAGGTGTAAGCGATGGCTGATATTGGAGGACAGTTTGTACTTGGGGGTGGACGCATCGGCCGCAGTCACAAGCAGGTACAGAGGAGACATACTTTGCGAAAATGCCGATCGCCGCTTGGATGATTCACGCGATAGCGCCGGTGCGGAAATTAAATTCGGAGTGGAGCGCTGCTGGGCCGGAGGATGTTTGCGAAGCGTTGGCTGATGGATATTGAAAACGTTCAAACGCACCATGTCCCGAATGCAGTTGCTACAGCCCCTCTTTAGAGTTCTAGACTGCCGAGGGAGGAGGTTAAGAATCCACACAACGAACATTATTAGTATCTGTACCTGTCAGTCTGTAAGATGGATTGAGCAAGTCAAAGCCGTCACGTCACTTATGAGGGAAAACGCCGCGGAACATCAGGATTTGCGGTATGAACTCCACCTCCGAGATCCTCCCGATGGGTTTGAAGGATTGTCAAGACCAGTAGAAAGTGATAGGGAAAGGGAAAGGGGCGGAGGGGCAACAGAGGCGAAGGTACCGATGAATCAATCCCTGCTGCTGCTTTCGGACGTCGGGGACAAACTGGGTCCGGCCAACAAGCAGGGAAAAATCCGTCCTCGTGGATTGGGTGGTTCTCAAGGTACTAGCTCCCAATCTTACCAGCAGCCTCCCCAATGCAGTCTTGCACTCTACCAGTATAGATGGATATCTTCTTGGTCTACCACAAGTAGAAGCCTCTGTCTACTTTGTAGAGTAGTTTCTAATTAAGTCTGTTCCGGTAAAGTTGTCTTCTGTACGGAGTAAGTAGAGTAGTTAGCTTTAAGCCCCACGCGTGGAGAAAGGAAAGGGGAGAGGATCGAATCGGCTTGGACTAACCTGCAGTCCCACTCCGCGGATTGGCGGTCCGTCCGGTTGCGGTGGCCACTTCAAATCAGTTGGAAAGGAATGTCCTTTTTCTTTTAATCTTTATTCCTACTTTTGTATTCTACTCCATAACCCATTACTATATTTATTGTACTACGGTATATTCAATCATTATCCTCGATTCGTACACTCGATCCCGCGGCTCTCGTGTGGATTTTCCGTTTTCACCTACTTTAACTTTTTCTTTTTTCTTTTTTTTTTTTCTTCCTCTTCCACAAGAAGACCAAATAACCAATCAAATATTGAAATAAACAGCAAATGATATATTTTCCAGTCCTAGGTAGTATACCTAAAGCAGACTGATTTCAGAAGGTGCAGGCAGAGTGTAATCCACACCACCCAACCAGGGAACTCAAAATGACGACATGGTGCCATCCTCGGGGTCAGATTGGGCAAGTCAGCATTGGATGGATCCCACCCCTGAGGATGAGACTTAGTACCAGTACCTTAGTACTTAGAAGTGCAGTGGTCAGGGACGGATGCTCTAAGCAGGATAGGGTCAAAGGAACCCTACTTTTGCCTCTATCCAAACACAACTAACTATCCCCACCCCCCTCCATAACCGTAGTGTCGGCAGAAACTAGAACAGAACGAGCATGTGACCGGGGCAGCCATAACCCTCCCCGCTCTCCATAGATTCACATCGCAGCTGCGATCCCGTCTTCGTGTCGTGCTAAAATCGGACAGATGATCAGCACGGGATGTGTGAGATTTTGCCCAAAACCAAAAGGCACAAAGTCTAGAACTCGATACCATGAGATGGGGTTATACTGTGTATCTAGATACGGGATTTTCCACTGGCAGGTGTAAGGCTGGTGCCAAGCACGCCCCGAAAGAAAACCGCGAGAAAGGATGCAGGTGTTTTTGACTTTGGACTTGGTCCCACAAGGACTGGGCTTGTGATCCTGTCAGCCTGTCACACACTTGCTCCTACTACTATTGCTTCCCGTCGGTGATTTGCCTCTGCTATGTGGAGGGGAGGAAGAAAGTTGTACCGTAAGCAAGTAACTGAATACGTATTGGAAGGAAGGTTCACGAAGCAGTAGGCACTTTCAACGGATTGATCGGTCCCCTTGCATACAGGTTTATTTCTTTTTGTAGTTCAATCTCTTCCCTCCTTATAGACGCATCTTAAATCAATACATTAAATAACAATATGATTATCGTAAGTTTCAATTTTAGTTTTTCTTTCTATAATCAGGCAGGGAAGAAGCTATGCAAGCTCTTCTGTAGTTCAAGACCCCGCAGTTAAGCACCACAAGTCCTGCAACTTGCAGGTGTCCTAAGAGGCTTAATGTTCTTCTGCTCTCATCAAATGTGTCCATTGTTTCGATGAGAGAGTCTACCCACTCACACATACACACATTGAGGTATTTTCGCCCCGAAACCATAAGAGGGGAAAATCCAATTGCCTCGAACAATCCTACTAACTCTCAATGATGGCAATCACTTTTGGTGGGCCCACACCCCCAGGTCTACACCTCTGTACTAAGCAGATACTTGAGTGGAATAATTGCATATCCAACTTCTCACGACTAGCTTTATTCGGTTAGCGCAAATTTAAACGCAGCTTATTAGAATTAGTTAGACTCGAATTACTTTTGCAGCTCGTGCCCCCGGTTCAAGAACGAGCAATTTGCGGTCCAACCTTCGGACGCGGCTAATCCGGCTTTGTCCCAGAGACTGAGACATCTTATTCGATCGTAGCCAATCATGTTTCCAAACTGCCTCCTGAACAGTCCCCCCCCCCTCCCTTCAATGGTGGCCACTGGTACCTCTCACTGCAGACTGCTCGGGAAGCTGGGCAAAGGATGATGATGATGATGATGTTCTGGTTGTCGCTGATTGAAGGCATGGGACCCACCTCTCAGCTGAGGGTCCATCGAATTACAGGGAGGCACCCAGGTTTGCAGTAAATGAGTAACTATTTCCAGATGCGTTTCGTGTTGTTTGATGGGTAGACCACTTCAGGTTTGGGTAGAAGGGTTCCCAGTAATTAGTTGAGAGTCTGCATGCGGAGAAACCAGTGGTGAGCAGCACTAATACAGACAATAGAGCTTTTTCAAAGTAGTTACACAGCCCTAGTACTTAGTAGTATGCTAGTGATCACCCCAAATCCCTTGTTTTCTGACCATGTAACTTAGATTTGTGGGCTTGGGTGCCCCGTTAGCCCAAGGCTACATTTCCGAGTGTTACGGGTGGGTTATTTAAGTGATTTCCAGATTCTCGCACGAGCGTTTTGGCTAATGCCCCCCGGTAAGAGAATTGTAGATGTATGCAGAGGAGAAACAAGCATCTTAAACAAAGAAAAGTAAAATGTGGTAATAATGATAATAGAATAGAATGAATTTATGCATTTGGGTTATATGCCTCCAAGTAGCTATACCTGTGCTATAGTAAGCTTTTAGCTAGGGACTTTAGTAGATCCTGCTGCTGATGATTTTACGTGTGAGAAATTAACAGATTAGTTCTTAAGTATATGTTGATAAGGAACTCCACAAAATTGATACACATTCGACCGGACTTCGAGGTTGATTGCTTGAACCACGTAAATCGGCTAGACTGGGCGTATTCACCCATCTCGGACACTATTTCCTACACAAGAACATTGTGTCCATGTAGATTTGTTGTTTTCGCTGCATGTGTCAAGGGTCCTACTGCGCTCAAGACACAGGTACCAGTATACTTGGCACTACCCAGCGATGGCTGGCCCGCCTTGATGGCTGGGGTCGGAGAAATAATCCAACACTGATGACGGAAGACATTGGGAAAGGGGATCTACCAAATCAACAATCTTCAACCATAATAGTTGGATTGCTATTGGAATTGCCCCATACAAATTAAGGCTACATCGCCGGATCGATCACTTTCTTTTCTCTTTCATTTTCTATTTTTTTTTTTACGGCCTACTACCTGGGTTGGCAAAACCGAAACCGCACTTAGACGACGAGTACTAGTACTTAGTAGTACTCTATGAATTACCGGTCCGGAACGGACTTGATTGAAATTGGCCCAGTACGCAGAATCTTCGAACTTGGACGTTCTCTTTCTTTATATCACAGAAGTAGTATAGCCATAGCCCATCATCAACATTGCCCCAACTTCAGGCCGCCTTAGAAGAGGGGCCTGGTGTTGCCCTCGGCCGATGTTAGCCGAGAAAGTTTGAGTCTATCTTATTTAGAATGAGACCACGTTTATTATATTTACTATTATAATGCTTTTTTCCCCCTCGCGTTATACACAGTGTTGGTCTTTGTTCCTTGGCCACCCTCGACTTGCCCTCCCTGAACTAGTAGTGAACAGCCTACTCAGTACCTCGGTAAGTAGTATCTTCATCATACCGAAAACAGCAGACGTAGGTGTTCATATTTTAAGATTGGCAGGACCGTTAACAAGGCTGACCTATCGAGTAAGGCTCTGACACCGAATTCCCCGGGTTATAGTGGGTCTCCCTTGAACCCAGTCCTAAGTACTCATAGCCCGACTACGTCGAATGTCTCTTTCACGCAATGGCTGCATGCAAATCGGATATTCCTGGACAAGCATCACCTGATCCGGCAGGTCCTACATGGGCCCCAGGGACCGAGATACTCGTAGACAGAACCCATAATCCGTAGTCTTTCTTGATCACAACTAGTCCCGCATTAGTAACGTCCACAAAACCTCCAACAATAACACTGGTGTAGGCCAGTAGCTCCTGAGCACGTGATCAACATTGTGTTGTTCTTGATCACAGAGGGATGAAGGTATGCTGTTGTTGACTCACAGCAGCCTACAGCTTCATACAAAATTTGGCACCATCCCTGACCTACGTATCTATCTGATGAGTGGCTGTCATCTTGTGCGCCGTAGCCTAATGATTTCCCCGGGAACGCTAGAGCATACTAGTGTACGACCTGATTCTTGCAGCTTGTCCGGGGACAATTGGTCTTCGAAGACGAGGAAAATAAGGGAATGCGGTCTTCATCGAAACTGTCAAAGAAACTTCTCAAATTTTCGTATTTCGGACTTGTTGTAGTGTAGGTAGTCCTGTCTTTGTTTCCGATCACACCTGTATTGAGGCTTTTTTTTTTTTTTTTTTTTGTTCCCTCCTGCAGAAAACGAATCGGGGGGTTCCAAGGAGGGCAAAGAAAGAGCAAGTTAATAATAAACGAAAAATCGACAGCAAGGAAGGCAACCCGAAAGAGGAGGGAGATGTAAAAAATGAAGAGTAAATGAGGGTCTCTCTTTCAATGGATTAATTGATTCCGATTCCTTCTCTTTTCTGACGAATTAGGAGTGTTGCGGGCGGCAATACCGATCCCAAATACTACCCGTCTTCGGCTTCAGGGAGGTGTGGATTCTTTTTTTATTTTATTTTATTTTATTTTATTTTATTTTATTTTTTTTGGTGATCTTAACCTTGGATGTGCTCCGCATGGGAATCCGAGGAAGAAGCAACAAACGGGGATCTCAGCTTGTTCAGATGCTTTCTAGTCTGAGAGCGTGGTAATCCACACCAATCCAGCGTATCAGCTTCTGTTGTTCAACTTAAACCCCTTCGGTAACTGTAAAGTAAAGTAAAGTAACCAAATTAAGAATGTGTTGTCTTCATTCGTGGGTACCTTAGGTAATTTCCTTCAAGCTAAACTCGATCCAGGGAAAGGTAAAAAGAAAAAGTGGACGTTTTGACTTCTGTACTTTATCCGTACTGTGAGCCCAAATCCCCGAAACGTCTGGCCAGTCTGTCTCGTCTCTCTCTCTTTCTCCCTCTCTTCTCTCTCTGTCTGTCTGGTCTCCAGTCCCTCCACTCTTCCCCCCTCCCCTCCCCTCCACTCTCCACTCTCCTCTCCTCCCCTCTTACCAGTTCATTTTCTTTCTTTATTTTCTCTCTTCTATTTACTTTTCCATTTTGTTATATTTTTGTGCATTTATTATCTTCAATCTTTTTTTTATTTTTACCTCACTTTTCCCTTTTTCTTTTTGTTTCCTCATTTTTCCCTTCTCCACCATC